TTGCCTCTACGCTCCCTCTTTTAATGTTATTCTTTTTTCCACATTAACTTTCCTGATGTATTCATTTGTCATTCATTTATCAAGCACTGGACATTGTAGTAGATGCTGATACACATTGTCCAGACTTGCCTCTCGGGAATGGACTGTTGCCCTCAAAGCTGAGAGCTGAGAGGCCCATGGAGGCCACTTCAGTTAAGAAAACCTCTCCCAAGGTCATGCCAGAACCCCAAAACTGGTCTCAGCGGAATGGAGGCCTGACCTGCAGTCACAACCTAGACAGCAATGCAGGGCTTGGACTGATCACAACTTCTCCACTCCTTTTGGTCCCCTGGCTCCCTCCCTTCAACTTCTGCTTGCTGATCTCTTCAAGCTGCTCTCATGGAACTCAACCTGCAACTGGCACAGAAGATGCAAAGATGAGTAAGCCACTGTCTGGCCTCCAAAGATGTCAGGCAAAAAGCGAAAGCACACAAGGGAGGGGTGAGGATAGGTAAGACACCTAAAAAATTAGTTAGCATTTGTTGCCCTTAACGCAGAGAAACTAAAGCAGATACCTTAAAGCAACTGAGGCCAATAGGAAAAGGGGAACAGGTACTAGAGAAAAGGTTAGATCAAAAAGAATTAACCTAGAAGGTAACATCCACGCACAGGAAATCAATGTGAGTCAATGCCCTGTATAGCTATCCTTATCTCAACCAGCAAAAACCCTTGTTCCTTCCTATTATTGCTTATACTCTCTCTACAACAAAATTAGAAATAAGGGCAAAATGGTTTCTGCTGGGTATTGACGGGGGGGGGGGGGGGGCGGAGTGGGTGGTAAGGAGGGGTGGGGGCAGGGGGGAGAAATGAACCAAGCCTTGTATGCACATATGAATAAAAAAAAAAAAAAAACAAAGATGTCAGGCAAAGCAGGAACTACAGTCTTCAGTGGGGAATACAGCTCATATTGGGGGAAGCATTTTCTTCTCCATTTCTAGAAGGTTCAAGGCCTCCTAGAAACCCTTTAGCCAGTCAAATCTCTCAAGTCTAGGGCTACCCTGCTAGCATCTCCTATAGGGTCTGATATCCAGTCTGCATGCTCAAGCCTGATGCTGAGCCTGGCTCTGGTGCTAAAATCCACCTGGGCACATAAGCATTCAGCAGAATGTCTACATCCAAAGAATTTCAAGACAGTAACATCACATGGAAATGAACAGTTCTCTGACTGGCATCTCTTGAGTGCCTTGTGGACTGGTGCTGAGGAGCCCATGTCTCCCACTGGGCACCAGCCAGGTTGCCTGAGGTGCTGGTGACTATGGCCAGGCCAGCAGAAGCAGGGAGACCAGGCTTTCCATAAAGACTGCAGACTGAGACCCTTTATCCTAGCCAGCTCCTGCCTGGCTTATAGGCCTGATGTGGGCAGAGCAGTTCCAGGATCAGCAGCTGTGGAAAGACTGCTTTTCTCAACTAGCTGGGATTTGCCAGTGGAGGGGGTGGCTGCCATGACAGCCTGCAGTCTGGAGTAATAGAGGGTGACTTCCTACCCTTCCATGTCAAGTTCCTCTCCTTTTGTCCTGTGTTTCTGAAATGGAGCTGCCTGATACTGCCATTTTTCCATTTCTCAAGACAACTTCTGTCAACTTGCCAGTTTCATGTCCAACAGCTAGTGTCTTTCTTAGCTGCTTTAATTCATTCACTCCCATGCCTGAGTCCAGCAGCATCTAGTACTGCTTCCTACCAAAAAGAGCCCTTTGATAGAGCTTGACAGGGCTGAACAGTTGTAATGGGCACTCAGAAGGGCAGCCTGAGCTCCTGCAGTATGCCTTCTTCTGAGCCCAAATTACCCGCCCCTGCAGTCACTCAGAGGAAAATTACTTCCTTTTCCATAGGACAGTCCTTCAAATCATAACTAGCCACACAGGACACATGTTCTGAGTGCTTATACGTTGTGCTTGGCAGCCAGTTCTTACCACAGTCCTGTGAAGAAGCTGAGTAGGTGTTCAAAAAAAGGTTAAGTGAATTCTTGTGGATACCGTTTCTACAGGTGGCCCTTATTACCAGCAAGAGCCAAGACTCTCCCTCATAACCAACTGCAACTCCAGTGCTACAGGGCACACTGCATTTTCAGGGACTCTAGGGAGTAATGGGCACTCCTATAGGAGTTCGCAAGCTGGGAAGGGTTCAGGGCCTGAGAGCCTGGCAAACAAGCCCAGGCTGTGACTCCAAAACTTACCTGGCTGCAAGTCTGAAGTTGGAAGATCGTTATGTGGTTGTGAGGAAGCTCTCGGGAATGTCAAGGGTATACATGCCACAGACAGGGCTGGAAGACCACTTCCTCTGGACTTCTGGGAGGGAAGCTGACAGATCAGCAGTTCTTCTGCCAGCTTCATCAGCACAGCCTGCTCTGTGGTCAAGCCTTCCTATCTTTAGTTTGGATCCGGAATGTCCCCAAAGATTCCTGTGTTGAAGGCCTAGTCCCAGTGTGACAATGTTCAGAGGCAGGGATTTGTGGATGTGGCTAAGTGATGGAAGACTGAGCTCATCAATGGAATAACCCATTGATGGATTCATAATTTGGTGGGCTATTGGGAGGTTGCTGTAGCTTCAATGGGCTGTAGTTGAAGGGAGTGGGTCACTGGAGGAATGCCTGTGGGGGTGAGGGGTGTCTTATTGTAAGCTGCTTTGCCCAACCCCATGCTCCTCCCCACATTGTTCTCTCTCATCATGGTTCCAGAAGCAATGAGGACAAATGACCATGACTGAAACTTCTTAAACTATGAGCCAAAACAAATGTCTTTTTTGGTTTTTTTTTTTTGAGTTACTGGGGTTTGTATTCAGGGTCTCATGCTTGCTACGCAGGTGCTCTACCACTTGAGCCACTCCGCCAGCCTTTTTTGTGTTGGTTATTTCTGAGATAGGATCTCTTACTATTTCCCCAGGCTGACCTTTGAACCTCGATCCTCCTGATCTCTGCCTCCTAAATGGCTCGGATTATAGTCCTGAGCCACCTCACCTGGCTTCTTCTTGCTTTAGGTTATTTTCTCAGGTATTTTGTTACAGCAACAGAAGGCTAGTTAACACTCTCTTTCACCCCAAACAGGTTTCTCTCCCCCAGATACCTGTACTACACCACCTTCAGCAGCTCACTTTGTAGCAGAGAGGAGGATAAAAAGAAAACAGACTAGGCCTGAGTCCTGAGAAAGTAGCAGGGAGGTAGGGATGGCATAGCAGAGATAAAACCTGAGAAATCTGAACACGAGGAAGGTCACGTAGCACCAGGGAGGGGAAAGTCACATAGCACTAGGGTAAAGTAGCCAATAAAATTAAATATAACCATACATGGATTAGACCTTGCTTTTTGCTTCTGTAACCTGCTTGCAAGGGTATATAAGGTGAGACCCCTTTGTTGTCGGGGCTCAGCCTTTGGACATGAGTCCACTGAGTCTGTGCTGGCACAATAAAACATTGCTTCCTGCTAATTGCCTCAAGAGTCCCATATCTCAGCTAGCAACCTCCCACAACAACTTAAGGGTCCTTGGTAAGCTTTGTGACTACAATCTCTACACAGCTAGCATTGACTCTGGTTTCTCTGTCATTGACAGCAATGTCTCCATTTAAATTATTCTATATACCATTTACGTAGAGCAGCTAAATCTTTGAGAAATAATAACATAAATTATACTGCTAGCCGGGTGTAGTTCATGCCTGTCAGCACTCAGGAGGTTGAGGCATGAGGATTTTGAGTTCAAAGCCAATTTAGACAACATAGCTAGGCCTTACTTAAAAAAAATAAAAATCAAAATATGGCAGAGTATGTCAGCTTAAGCCTATAATGCTACCTACTCAGGAGGCAGAGATCAAGGCCACTCAGGCAAAAGATTTGCAAGACCCCATCTTAACCCATGGCTGGGCCTGGTGGTGCATACCTGTCATCCAAGTTATGTGGGAAGCATAAATAGGATTGTGGTCTCAAAAATGACCAACGCAGCCAGATGCTGGTGGCTCATGACTGTAATCTTAGCTACTCAGGAAGCAGAGATTAGGATTGTGGTTCAAAGCCAGCCCTGGGAAAATAGTTCACAAAACCTATCTCGAAGTGGTAAATGCATCTGCCTAGCAATTGAGTGGCTCAAGTGGTAAGAGCATCTGCCTAGCAAGTGTGAAGCTCTGAGTTCAATCCCCCAGTACTGTCAAACAACAAAAAGATCATACTGGGCTGGTAGAGTGACTCAAGTGGTAGAATGCCTGCCTCACAAGAATGAGGCCCCGAGTTCAAACCCAGTACTTAAAAAAAAAAAAAAAAAAGTTTCTGTTAAACATTCCCCTTCTCCCCCACTCCTTTTTTTCTTTCTTTTAAAGAGACACTTCACTCTATTGTCAGGCTGGTCCTGGATACTCCTAGGCTCAATTCCTGCCTCAGCCTCCCGAGCAGCTAGAACTACGGGTGCATGCTACCACACCTGGTTTTCCCTCTTAGAGACTGCTTAATTTGAAAACAAAATGACCTAGTTTTCCCATTAGATTCTGTTCTCATTTCCCCACTTCCCAGGCCTCTCTTACATGGTTAAAGGAAAAATAAAGAACATCAAGCAAAATGAGGACAAGGATGGTTTCTCTTGAGTCCACTAGGGAAGCCTACACAAGAGACCCCTGGAGAAAGCAGATGGGTAAACCCTATGTGAGGTCAGATTCCAGAATCAGTTCAAACTTCCAGCAGTAGGGGCTGTCTACTGTCTAGAGTCCAAAAGCCCTTCAGCTGAAGCTGAGCCCAGGCTAGGGAATAAACACCGCAGTGATCCAAACACACTGCTCTTCATTCTACAAGTTTAGCCTACCCTATGGTCACACAGGCGCTCATTGCCCATCATGCCCTTGATGACATCTCCTCCCAGCAAGGCTGGTGCTTCTGTGGCTTCCACTTGTGACTGACAAAAGTGTCACAGGAAAACACCAACCAGAGAGCCCACAACTGGAGGCAATTGGGGTAGACCTGCCTAAGAAGCAGTAGAGATGAAGCAAGGGAGATGCAGGGGAAGATTTAATTTACATAGCAGCCATGTGGGGCGCAGTCAAGCTGGGGCAGTGGGGGGATTTATAACCCCAGAGGGCACCCCTAGCCCCTTCCCCTGTGACACAGTCCTCGCAGACCCTTGGATGGAGCTTCCCACATTGTGCAGACGATGCTCCAGTCGAAAGGAAGAGAGAGATCTGAGAATAAGGCTGGCTGTCCCCAAGTAGGGGGAGGTCCGTGGCCTGGAGTCAGTTGCCTAAATGGTGGCCCAGGGGTCTGCAAGACCAGTCCATGTCCTGGGCACAGTCCTCTCTCAGCCGGGTAGTCCTAGAGGAAGCCCTCACGGCGGAACTGTTCCTGGAGGAGGGCACGGTACTGGTCAAATCCCCCCTCGACCCGGGTGACACCGCCTCCTTCACACACCCACAACTCCCGGCACACCAGCCGGATGAAGCGTTCATCATGGGACACCAGAATCACTCCACCCTGAAAGACAGAACAGGAGGTGTTCAGGGGGTGTTTAGGGGTGCTGAGGCATGGGGAGGAGCAGTGCAAAGGCAAACTCACCCTGAAATTGTTGAGAGCGCAGCCCAGAGCCTCTATCGTCTCCATGTCCAGGTGGTTTGTGGGCTCATCCAGAATGTAGAAGTTAGGGCTGGAAGGCAGAACACAGGAAGATGGGCAGTTATGGATGGGGGTTAGTGGAAGAAAATAAACTCTTCTGATACAAAGGTGAGACCCGTTTTCTACTGGGCAGGAAGGGGAAATGGGAGGGCAAGAGCTCTAGAAAATGAGGTCTTACCAGGGCATGGTCATCTGAGCAAAGGCCACCCGGCTCTTCTGGCCCCCAGACAAGCTTGCAACAGGGCGCATGGCCAGTTCTCCAGAGATGCCATACCGACCCAGCTGGTGACGATACTCTTCTTCAGGCTTCCCTGGAAGAGGCCCCTAATATCAGATGGGCTCTTGGTCCAATTCCCTCCCTTACCCATACAAGCTCTGCCTCCAAATGCCTATGTTTTTACACCTAAACTTGGATGGGCTCCTCTACACAGACTCCAGAGCAGGCACTCTTGCCTCAATCCCAATCCCTAACACACCGGGAAACTTGCGTGCCAGCAGCTCCACAGCACTGACATTCAGATCCAACTGCTCCACGTGGTGCTGGCTGAAATAGCCAATCTTCAGATTCCTGCAGGCAGAAATGACGATAGAAGGAACTGAGTATGAAGGTGTGTAGGTGGTATGTGTATGAATGTGTGCATGCAGTTGGTAGGGCACCTTACCTGTGGGCATGTCTGATGCCTCGAACAGGTGCCAGATCCCCCATAAGCAGCTTCAGCATAGTAGACTTCCCAGCCCCATTCTCCCCAACCTGTAAGAATCGTAAGCATGTTAATGAGTACATCTTAAATTGTCAAACACAGGAGGGAAGAAGAGAAGGGGTCCTGGGTATCCTGATGACTGTCTACTACCAAAATAATCTGCTATAGACTAGTAAAGATACAAAGAGAATCAATACTTGAGTACCTGCTAAGTGCTGAGGATTTATTTCTCCTAATAACCAAGTGAAGTAGATATTAGCTCCTTTTTAAGTAAAAGGAACCCAGTTTGGTAACCAACTAGGGCATCATATAGTCAGAATCTAAACTCTGGTCATGAAACCTATGCTCTTGCCTCAGCATCATGGTTGAGATAACTCAGAACTGAGACCATTAAGGTCAAGTGTTATTCTAAATACTCTGAAAATGCTGCATGCCAGCTTCTCATCTCTGAGGGGAGAGGCTACAGGAAGTATAAACACAGCAATGGCTTTTGCCCAGGCCCAATCACTGTTCTTGTGCACCTCCTCCTTCTATGGGCTCAGAAGCAGCCCAATCTACACTTGCTGGAGTAGACCACTTCCAGCACATGAACAGGAAAACAGCAATCATACCACACATATGCGAGACTCGAGATCAGCAGAGACAGATAGACGGCTGAAGATGATGTGTTTAGGATCATAGTAGAAATCCACCTCATCTAACTGCAGAATTGGTGGTGAGAACTTCTCAAACCCATCGGGGAACCTGCAGGAGGTGCAGGTAAGGAAAGTTGTGGGGGGAGGTGGCCAGAAATAAGAGATTCCCTACCACCCCCTGGCTTAGTACTTACTTCATCACAACTTCCGATTCCTTGTCCACAGGCTTCAGTTCGGGTCTGAGGGGAAAGACAAGGTGGACTAGATAACTTTAACAAATAATTGTTTCTCTTTTATCACAGTCTTGCTATGCAGCCTTGACTGGCTTAAAAATTGCTATATAACCCAGGCTGGCATTGAACTCAAAATCCTCCTGCCTCTGCCTCCAGAGTGCTGGGATTACAGGCTTGAACAACCATAACTGGCTCAAACCTAACTTTTTTTTTTTTTTTTTTTTTTGGTGAGACTGGGCTTTAAATTCAGGGCTTCATGCTTACAAAGCAGGCACACTACTGCTTGAGCCACACCTCCAGCCCATTTTGGAGATGGAGTCTTGCAAACTATTTGCCCAGGCTGGCCTTGAATGGCAATCCTCCTGGTCTTAGTCTCCCAAGTTGCTAGGGTTATAGGGCATAAGCTACCAGCACCCAGCTAAAATACGACTGTATTATGGTCGGGAGTGAAGCTCAGTTGTAGAGATTTGCTTACCTTGCTTGAGGCACTGAGCACAGAAAAAAAAAAAAAATGAAGCTGGAAGCAAGAGGATCATGAGTTCAAGATCAGTCTGGGCTGCAGAGTTTCAGGTTTTTTTTTTTTTGTGGTATTGGGGTTTGAACTCAGCGGATCACACTTGTGAGGCAGGTGCTCAACCACTTGAGCCACATCCCCAGTCAAAAAAATTTTAAAAACTATTAAAAGGTAACTATTTGTTCCTCTTGCATGAAAGTATAATCTTAGAGAAAACTTAGAAAAGGCTTGTACTCCTCTCACCTAATTGACATTAGGGATTCATCTTTTTGTAGCATTTTAAAAATTCTTTTTATTTTTGTGGAGCTGGGAATGGAACCCAATGCCTCACATGTGGCAGGCAGGTGCTTACCACTGAGCCACACTTCCAGCCCTTTGTTGTAAGCGTTTTACTCTCAGTTAATATGTGGTGGTACAGGTTTCCAGTTCACAAAATTCTAAGCCTTCTAGAAAGGCTGCTTCAAGATTAAATTCCCAATGTACAATATCATTAGTTCTTAGTCACTAAGGTTATGCAAATCAAAGTAAAAATGAAGTATCACTTCATACCCACCAGAATGGCTAAAACTGAAAGTAGTAAGTTGTGGGAGTTGGGTGTGGTGGATGGCAATCCCAGTACCTGGGAAGGAAGACTGAGAGTTTGAGGCCAGCCTGGGTTACACAGTGGGCCCTGTCTCAAAAAACAAGCACCCACAACCAAAAATAAAAGTACAAGTGTTGGCAAAGACGTGGAAATATTACAACTCTCAAATACTGCTAGTAGGAATGTAAAACAGTGCATCTGCTTGGAAAAAAAACAGTCTGATAGGCCGGGTATGGTGGTACATGCCTATAATCCCAGCACTTGGGAGGCAGAAGCAGCAGTATCTCAAGTTTGAGACCAGCCTGAGATAAAAAAAGAGTCTGGCAGATCTTCAAAAAGTTAAACATGAGATTACCATGTAAACCAGCAAAGCCACTTCTATAAATGTACCCAGGTGAAATGAAAACATGTAAGTACACACAAAAACTTGAACTCAGCAAGGTGCCAGTGGTGGCTCATGCCTGTAATCCTAGCTACTCAGGAGGCAGAGATCAGGAGGATTGCAGTTCAAAGCCAGTCTGGGTAAACAGTTCAAGAGATCCTATCTTGAAAAACCCATTACAACAAAGAGCTGGTGGAATGGTGAAGGCCCTGAGTTCAAGCCCCAATACTGCAAAAAAACAAACACAAAAAAACTTGAACTCAAATGTTCATAGAAGCATCATTCCTAATAACCAAAATAGGAATTCAACGTCTATCCCTTCATGAATCAATTAACCAAATGTATATTGATGAAATGGAGTTTGTGTGTGGGACTGGGGTTTGAACTCAGGGACTCACATTTGCTAGGCAGGCGCTCTACCACTGGAGCCACTCTGCCAGCCTGAACTCAGGGCTTTGCAAAGCAGGCACTCTATGGTCTGAGCCACACCGCTGGCCCCACAGAGTGGAGTATTATTCACTATAAAAAGAAATAAAGTACTGACACATGCTACAACTTGAATGAACTTGGAAAAACATGGTAGGTAAAAGAAGGTAAACATGAAAGGTCACACATTGTATGACACCACTGATACGAAACGTCTAGAATAAGCAAATAAATAAAGTCAGAAGATTAGTTGCTTAGGAAAGATTAATCCTCCAAGAACAATGTAAAATACTCTGCTTTCCTGTAGGGGAGGAAGTCAAAGTGCGCTGATAACCAAGGGGAGACCCAGTATGGGAGGGCAAGTGGTGGCCTCCAAAATGAGGGAAAAAAGGAAGGTAACAAGAGTCAGGGTATGTACTTACAGTTTCTCCAGCATCTTGAGTTTACTCTGTACTTGAGAGGCCCGGTTGGCATTGTAGCGAAACCGATCAATGAAAACCTACAAGAGGACAAGGGCAGGCACTGGTTAAGCTCCCTCACTACTTCTAACTAACTCTGATCCCCACAGGATGGGACCCACAGCCCTGCCTGCCCCCACACCTGGATGTGCTGGCGATACTGCTGTTGTGCCTCATATTCACGCTGCTGATTGAGAAGCCGCTCCTGCTTGCTCTTGATGAAGGTCTCAAAGTCTCCCCGGTAACCATCTAGCCGCTGGCTGTGCAGGTGGATGATGTCTGTGGCGATGGCATTCAGAAAGTTTCGGTCGTGAGAGACGACTAGGATTGTGGAGGGCCATGTCTGAGGAGTCACAGGATGGCAGGCCCAGTTTGGGAGGGCAATCAGCTCTCAGGCCCTCAAGTGTCTTGTAAGCGGACTTTCCCTGAACCCACCTCAGAGCCTTTCCCCAAACTCACCTGCAGGTAATTCTCCAGCCACAGGATGGCCCTTACATCCAGCATGTTTGTGGGTTCTGGAGAGGAAGTGAGGGAGCATATACTTGGAAATGAAGGGCTGGAGAACCAAGAACAAGGAAGCTACCACTCTTCCCCACTCCCCAAGTCAGGACGCCCCATTTCAAACTCACCATCTAACAGCAGAAGATCTGGCCTATAAAAAGAATACATGGCACAAGGTTTTATGTCAGCAACCCATTGTCACATCCTAAGAGCCACGACCCATCCACCAGAGAGCTCTATACACAGGCCCAGGAGACTCACCTAGCAAACAAAGCCCGGGCCAGGGCCAGTCTCATTCTCCAGCCACCTGAGAACTCCCTAAAGGCAGACAGAGATTCATCAGGGGTGGGGGTTCATCAGGGCAAGTAGGGGCAGAGCCAACAGTGTTCAGAGCCAAAAATGGCAAGGCCCACTCACCGAGTAGGCTGCTGCTGCATTTTAGGAGTAAAGCCAAGCCCAGCAAGAATGACTGATGCCCTACAAATAAGGAAATTGAAGAACACAGTTGGAACAGTTCACAAGAGGGAAAGATGAAATGTGACACAGAGAGGGAGAATTTTAAATACCTGGCAGGTGCCTTGTCAGCCTCAATCTCCTCCAATTTGGCATAGATTTCTGCCAGCTGTGTTGTTTCTGAGCCCTCCACCCTGTAAAGGAGAAACCACCACCAGCCTAAGTTGAGACAGTCTAGAGCGATGTTCTTCATCTATACAGTTGGAAAGCAGGCCACAGGCTGCCTTATTGCTGGGACAAGAATACAGGAAGGACTTGCCTAAAATAACCAGTGCAATGGACACAGTGGAAAAAATGAGGGCTTTAGAATCCCACAATGCAAAATTCCAAGCTCTACTGTTCACAAGGATGGGTATTTGAATCATGGATTGAGACAGCATGGTGGGCACTCTGTGAAGGACAGATATTGCTCCCCCTAGCCAAGAGCCCTCACCTGCCAGAAGCAATCTGGGCGCTGAGCTTCCGCTCCCGCTGTAGCAGGTCCTCTCGCACGCTGTCGCTCTCTAGCACACTCTGCAGGGCAGGGGTGTCATCTCCAGCAACCTCCTGCTCTACATGCAGCAGGGAAATGTGGGCTGGAACCCGAAGACTCCGGGTGGCCAGCATTTTTAGCAGTGTCGTCTTCCCTAGCCCATTCCGTCCCACCAGTCCATAGCGGCGGCCCCATGCCAGGTTCACCTCTGCTCCAGCCAGCAATACCCTGCAGGGGTAGACAAGAGACCAAGGGTGCTCTAAAGACAGGTGCATAGTAGTTCTTTTTTTGGTGGTGGTGGTGGGGCAGTGGGACTGAGGTTTGAATTTAGCACTCTGCACTTGCAAGGCAGGTGCTCTACTGTTTGAGTCACACCTCCAGTACATTTTACTGTTGATTTTGGAGATGGGGGTCTTTTGAACTCAGAGCATACACCTTGAGCCACTCCACCAGTCCTTTTTGGTAATGTTTTTTTTGAGATAGGGTCTCGAGAACAATTTGTCCAAGCAGGCTTCGACCCTTGATCCTCTTGATCTCTGTCTCCTAGTAGCTAGGATTATAGGCGTGAGCCACTAGTGCCCAGCTAGAGATGGGGTCTTGTGAACTATTTGCGTAGGCTGACCTTGGAACACCCCTCCCCCAATCCCAGCCTCCCAAGTAGCTAGGATTACATGTGTAAGCCACCAGCATCCTGCCTAGGTGCATAGCAATTTAACAACAGATCCTAACATTGTTTTAGCCCCAAATTCTCCCTTAATTGGAAAAGAATGCCAACCCTCCCCAACTGCCACTCCCTCACCTATCACCAAAAGATACATCAAAGTTCTCAATTCGCACATCATAGGACTTGTTCTTGCCAGATGATTCCAACCGACTCTCCTTTCTGCTGCCCGCCTGGCTGGCCGATGCCTCTTCCAAGACTCTTTCAAAGGGAGAAATGGATACCTTTAGGGCTCCCAACTACCCTTCAATCCCAGCAGAGTGCTCTGTTCTCTTCTGAGCCCTTCCTAAACTCACAGAGGGCTGCTGGTCTTCAGCGTGTCCTTCTCTGAGCGTTTCTCCTGCTTTGCCTTCAGTCGAGCCTCGGCCTTCTCCAGCTTCTTTGCATTCACTGTCTAAGTGAATTCCACACACAGTCAATTTACCCTATGATACAGGCTCAGAAAGGAGCCCCAGAGAGAACACCTCAAGTAAACCCTCTCAACTTATTCATGATAAACAGACTCAAGGATTCAGGGAAAGACAATCAGAAATCTCCCCCCAAAAGATACTTCAACATTTAGATAATCATCTCCCACACCCACCATAGACACAACCCCCTCCCTTTCTTCTCCTCACCGAGGACTGTTCCCTCTTTAGCAGTCCTGGAAGTTTGGTGTCACAGTCTGTAAGTGATAAGAAAAGCAGTCACCTTCTCCCTGAAGGAAGGGAAACTAACATTGTTGAGTAACTAATAACAACCAGGCATAGACACAGGCATTTTCAACAAAGTGTTACAATTCTGGGATAGATGGAACTGTTATAATCCTGAGGATAGATGGCTTTTGTCCTTGGATTACAAAAAGATAAATCTTGGGCTGGAGGCAGGGCTCAAGTGGTAGAGTGCCTACTTTGCAAGCACAAAGCCCTAAGTACAAAAAAGGTGGAAAAAAAAAAAAAAGATGAATCTGTCTGGGCAGTTGTGACTCACTCTTGTAATCCTAGCTACTAGTGAGGTAGAGAGACCAGGAAGGTGGTGGTAGGAACAGCCCTGGGAAAAAAAGTGAGACCCTACCTCAAAAATATCCAATACTAAAAAGGGCTTGTGCAGCTGCTCAAGCCATAGGGTATCTGCTTAGCAAGTGTGAGGCCCTGAGTTTAAACCCCAGTAACAACACCCCCCACCCAAAAACAACAACAAACCCCTCACATGTAAGGACACAGAGGCTGGGGCACATAAACTTACAAAACCATGCTGTTGGTTAGTAAGTTACAAAACTGAAGGGGGAAGGGGAGTTGAAACCAAGTTTGTCCAGCTCCAAGGTCCACATGCTTCCTACCATACCCAAGAGGTTGGGGAGCCCTCCAACCCTACTCCATCATACACTCTTGCCTTAGTAAACATGTCAACTAACTCCAACAACCGTTGTTCTGTAAGGCGTACTGAGAGGTAGGGGAGCTGGCTGGGGGTGGAGGCAGCAGACAGCTAGCTCAGTCTTCTCTCATTCTCACCGTAGTTCTCCGTTATCTTTGACAACTGGATGGGGGCGTCCAGTAGCACTTGGCTGTTTCCCTGGCTGGGTGGCTCGGCCCTAAGTGGGTGGGGACAAAAAGAGCAGTTACGAGTTGAGGTAAAGGTGTACGGCCGTCAGATTTTCTCCCCTCACCTCTTCGCCCCCAATACCCTCACTCCCTGTCACGTACAGGCGCAGAGTGTTGTACATGCGCTGGCACACGGCCCTGATACCAGCGTCATCCTTGCTGTCTCCGGACACCTCTTGCAAGAGTTCCCCCACAGCTTCCACCAGGTCATCCACAGACTCGAAGTCCGCGCTGCCGCTGTGTAAGACACCTGGCCCGGGCATGGCATAACAAGGAAGAACCCGGGTAAGGTGGAAGAAAGCAATTTCAGTGTCCCAACGCCCCAGTCCCGGGTCCAGACCCAACCGGCACTTGGAATAAGAGGTCACGCAGAGGAGAGGCCTGGCAGCGGTGCGCAACACTGCTATCCTTTAGTCTTTTCCCCGACCTCCACTTCGGCCTCCCCAGCCGATTAATTCCGTTCGGCTCACCGGTCACGTAGTCGAAGACCTGTCCGTCAATTTCAGGGAACTCGCTCCGCAGGATTTCGGCGCAAGTCGCCATGTTCCAGTCGGGATCCCGTTGGCGCAGTCGCCGTGAGATCTCGGCCTAGGCCCTCCCCCTGCCCTTCCCCCGAAATCGTGCTCTTCCTTCCAAAGCGCATGCGTAACGGTGACGTAAGAAAGGAGCGGAGAGTGAGAGGCCCGAAGGGGCGGGGCGAGAGGGGCCAGCGGAACCGTGCGCAAGCGCTGCTCGGACTCCAGCTGACGTTGCTCACTGCGCGCCTGCGCGACGTCTGTTCCGCTCAAAGATTAGCCACATGTGCGGTTTTCGCTGCCTTCTGGGAGTTGGAGATCCTAAGTCGTGGGGTGGGGCGGAGGTACTTGAGGTTTATTAGGACTCGAAGCATTGGTGGTCCTGCGGGGAGCCTCCCAAGAGCCCGGAGGCTGGCAAAGCACATTGGTTTTGGTAGTTTATAGCCTTTCTTTGAGGAGCGTCTGCCACTGCGCGCCTAGCCACCTCCATTTTGGACCCCGCCGAGAGCTTTGCTGACTCACGCTAGCCCCCGAGCCCTCAGTTGCCCCCGACTCAGTGCAGTGGGTCCGCCGTTTTCGTTCAGCCTGGTTGTGGTTGGTTCAGCCAACAGTCCTTTCACACTTCGTGACAGTTCAGCCAACCACCGAGAACTGTCATTCAGTTCTTCCACAACCCAGAGGCACAACCTCACCTACTACCATCGGGAAAGAAAACCAGCGACAAGACGGTCTTTATACATTCTTTATTCCCTGCGTACATCCAAAGCAGACTTCTCTGCACCCTTAATCTGTCAGTAAAAGGCCATTTTTCACAGATTCCCTCAGATAGAAAGTAGGACTCTACCTTCTAAATGACGCTGCTGCTTTATATTTAACGTGAGTACTCTTTTCAGCTTAGCTCTAAAATTGGCACCTAAAATTTCATTATTACCCACTTATCCATTTTTTGAGAGCTCTCATTATGTCCCCACCACGGCCTTGAACTTGAGATCCTATTGAGGTGGGTTAGGGAAAGTTGGGGGCTTCTTCCCCTCCTGACTCAAAGAGCTACTCCCCTAGCCCACAGGCCAGAGGAGCCAGGTAATGACTATTCTCTCCCCACCATCAAGGTCAAGTTGGCATAAAAAAGGACCTAACAGAAGACCCCAGCCTTTTTTCTTCTCTTACCTCTCCTTTCACTTGGCAGCACCAGTGATTCCCTTTCCCTTAATAAAACTTTTCTGCCTCACCACATCCATGTGTTCTGCTTGGATTCTTCCACGCTGAGCCAAGAACCAAGATCTTCTGGAGATAACCTTTTGCAGTTAACACTACTGCCTAAATCACCTGAATACTGGGATTACAGCTATATCCCAGCACATCCGACTGCCTCATTTATCATTTTGGATTAAGCATTGCTAAAATGAGGAACCAGTTTAAAAAGCTATTGAGCCTCTAGATCTAATACCCATTGTACAGGAAACATTAAAAGAGGAGTATGTTAGGCGACATCATGGAGATGCAACAGGTAAACTGATTAGGGAACTATACAACTTGGATTTCTTCAACAAAATGTAAAAGCTTTGGGAAAACCGTGTTGAAGACTTAAGATGCATTAACCAACCACAATGGATGGCTCCTATTTGGACCCAAATGCAAGTTATGGAAAATCTTACAGGATACCTGGGTTAAGTGAACACTCAATGGATGAGATATTAAGGAACTGGCCATGAGTTGATAAAGCTGAAGTTGGGTAATAGGACATGGGGGTTGATACTTGTTCTTGTTTGAAATTTTGTATTTATTTTTGTGATACTGAAGTTTGAGCTCAGGTCCTACACCTTGAGCCACTCTGGCAGCCCTTTGTTGTGAATGGCTTTTTCCGGATAGGGTCACGAGAACTATTTGCCCAGGCTGGCTTTGAACTGCGATCATCCTGATCTCTGCCTCCTGAGCACCTAGGATTATAGGCATGAGCCACCCACACCCAGCCTAGTTTCAGCTTTTTTAAACGTTAAAAAATATACTAGAATCCAGGCAGAATGGCTCAAGGTGTAGGACCTGAGCTCAAACTCCAGTACCACAAAAAAAAAGAATAAAAAAGGACTAGAGGAGTGACACAAAGTGTAGGCCTTGAGTTCAAACCCTATACTGCTAAAAACAAACAGAAAAGGCTGAAATTAAGCAAGAGAATAGTGTTGAAAATAAACCTATTTTATTTGCCACCCTCACCTCCACCCCAGGGGATATGAGACATTCCTAGCTCATCAAATTTTTCTCTGGAAGGGTAGAGGTACCGACCAGGAGTTTTATTAAGAGGCAAGGGGAAAATATAATCCTCTGGCCATACACCCACCAAGATTCAGAAAGCTTGGCTAAATGGGAAAAGAATTAAAAGGTCAATTTCTCAGGATGGTTTCAAGACCAAATGCAAACCTTGCTTGATTTGTGCTAATTGGGGGTGGGGGGAAGCCCTGTGTAAGTGTGGCGGTACACGCCTACAATCCCAGCACTTGGGAGGTAGAGGCAGGATCTTGAGTTCGAGACCAGCCTGGGCTACACAATGAGACTCTGACTCAAATTGGAAAGTAAAGGAGACTGGCCTAAAATTGAGTTAAGGGAAGACTCTACTCTTAGGGAACTGGCACCAGGTGGGGCTGTTTTCTTTATAGAGGAGCCTAACAACTGGAACAAGACGAGAGAGTCTTGAGAGTATTCAGAATAGAAGATTCTACTCAAACCAGGCAGTATAAGAAACTATGGAAAGGGCAATCCCACCAGTTTCCCTCCCTTGAGGTTCCCATATCAATACTTAGCCATCAGGCCTGTTCTACAGTTTATTGGGTTTTTAACTGGACGAAGTCACACGTGTACAAAATGAAGCTCACACTATCCCAAAGCAGAGTAGGGATTGAGGGCTGGGGATCCGTTACTGGCCTTTAGGGAAGCTCCAAGGTGAGAGGCAGCCAACCCTCCCTCTCCAGAGGTGTGGCCACAGGGGTGGGGAGGAGAGGGGGCCCACCTGGCTTTGGTCACAGAACTCAGAGCCTGGCACTTGGCCAAGGCAGACGGATGGAAGAGCAGGAGCCCTGCAAATCACCTGGCCCAGGGAGCCCAGGGACTACTCCACCAGTCCCACTTGTGATGTGGTTGGTCCAGACCTAGACTCAGGGGCTGGTGCAGAGGGAAGGCAGCAAAGCAGTGGGGAGAAGGAGACATTGATGTGTGCTGGCCAGGGTCACCTGGACCATGGAAGAGGGTGGGGACGGAGGTGGGCTAGCTGCCACTAGGCAGCTAACATCGGGTTTCATAAATGCCGCTGCGGCCAATGTAGCGCACCCATTTGATGACATCATGGTCACTGTAGTTCAGCTTCGGTTCAAACACCTTCAAGTAGCGCACCTTGAGGCCAGAGGGCGCGAATGGCACCTGGGCAGGAGACAGCTCCAGTTAGGAATGTTACCTTCCTCTCACAGATGCTCTCCTCTGGCAAGTTCTGTAGCTTTGCCCTACCTCATCTGCTATAGGTGTTTGGATGACTGGGACCCTGAAAGAATCTGGGGGAAACTGTGGTGGTGGGGAGCCCTCTAAGAGGTTTCTAAAGAAAGCATATCAAGAGTAACTAGCAATCATCATAGGTTTGAAGTCAGGCCCCACCTGTGATAACTTGAAGCAATTCCTTTAATCAGCTGGAGGCAGCAGCCAGAGCTGCCTTAGGACATACTTATCTTGTTCAATATTATGGACTTGAAAAATAAGGGGGAGAAAATTACATGTCTAACATGCACAAAGCAAAGTCAGCTCATTAAGAAAGCTTGCTGTCTTTCCTGGCATTCAAACAATCTGAATTTTTCTAAAGAACTGTTTTGTGACAAGCCAAGAGAAGTCAAGACTTTTCTGTGTGAACAGCAATTTCTATTAAAAGGCCTGAAGGGAGAATAATGGGTCTGTGAATTAAAGCCCCTTCTCCCTTCTAGGGCTGAGTTTCCTCATTTCTAAGGTATAGAGGTTGAGCTGAATGATCTCTCCTATCTTTACTAGCATATCCTGCCATGGTGTTATTTTTAGGCCCCTCCTCTGTCATACCTCAAAGTTCATGGAAATGGGAGGTCGAGCCCACTTCTTCTTGTCGTTGGTTGGCAGAAGCTCAATCTCTGCGCTAATCTGTGATTCCTTCATGCCTGCCATACGCTTGATCCTGGGAACACAGGGGCAATGGTCAGCAAGTGCCTGTTGGTGGTATCTTGGAGGAGGTTCCCTCATTTCAAGCAGGGAACAGAGCCCACAAGCTTGGAGGTGCCAGAACAAGGAGAAGTAGATAGTCCCTGATAACCACTTGCTGTGGAACCTTGGATCTGTTAGTAGTTTTGCACTTGGGACTACAGTTTCTGTTTAAGATACGTGGGGGAGCTAATCCTTACCCTTCTGTCTGCTTCACAGATATATTACAAGGGGAGGTGGGAAATGCTATGGCTTTTTAAAAACAGACATATACACAAGCCCAAGTGCAGACATGAACACACACAGGTATAAAGACTGACAACAGACGCAGAGGCTCTTGGAGAAGCAGGTACTTCTCCCACCCACACTTGAGAGGACAGACGGTAACATTTAATAAGAAGGCACACTGGTATATTGAGCCCTGCTGTGGCCTCCTGAAGGAAAGACTCACTTCCACACAATGGCGTTCTCGCTAGCCTTGTATTTGGCCTTCCCCTTCATGCAGATCACCTGCACCCCGCTTGTGTTCAGAGGGGTTGGGATCCTCACCTAGAAATGACACAGCTGTCAGAGAGCTTTGTCAAGCCCTAGTATCAGCTGCCTTTATTCCTAAGGACAAGTTTTCCCTCCCTAAGTCCCCTGTTCTCACCTCAATCTTCTGGGCCAACAGTGAGGGCTTGAAGTTGGACTTGATGACCACCTTGACCTCCAGTTTGGTGCGTCCCACTTCCCGTACAAGTGGGATCACCCGGAAAGGAAGGATGATGTCCTTGGTGGTACGATACCTTTGGGGATGCACAAGGTTGGCCCCCAAGGCCTTGTCCTACTCCCTCTCTTCTATCTCCTCGACCAGAACCCCCAGCCCCCTCCCACCCCATGGTACCTCATGAGCTCAAATTCTCCATCTGGTGGGATGAAGCTGATGCTGCGTTCAGAGTCAAATTTGCTAAGTCGAACA